TTTGTCCTTTTATTTGGTTTAATTGTAACGCATGAAAGAAGTGAATGAAGGCACGAATTAAACCAAATGGAAGAAACCACAAAACAGGTGAAATGAGGGAACGAAAGCAAAACACTTTCGCTTCGTTTCATTAGATTTAGTTCGCACTTTGGCTTCGTTCCTTTCTTTTCCAGCCACTAGGATTATACCAGAAGATATAGTGATTCCTTGACCAGTAAACCCTCCACTCAGTGTATCTAATTCGCACTTTGGTTTCGTGCCTTTCTTTCCCAGCCATTAGGATCATACCAGAAGATATAGTGATTCACTAAACCTTCCTATATTCTAATGACATCTCCTTCCTACCAGTTAGTGACTCGGGATTCTATCTCTTGTTCCCGTTGCCTATTGTAATGAATGAAAGGCGAAAAGATAATGAAAGCATGCTTTTCGCTTTTCCTTGAATTAAAACTGACCAACGGGTTGCTGGTTCGTTTCGTGCTTTCTGCTGATTAAATTAACCACGCTTTCGCTCATTCCTTTCCCTTCATTGTGTTATTAACTAGAGAAAAAGAACCACAGACACGAACCCCTAGATCCTATTATGCCAAGTGGTTCTTGAAGGTAATAGGTGAACTGGTGGAATGAATGCTGCCTCTTCTGTTTTTAATCAAACGCAATGGAAGCGACGAAATGCGATGGAAGCGCGACCTCACGTTCCTGTTTGTTCCTTCACTTTGCTTTTGATCTAATTTACTTACGTGGAAAAGGGGCGTGCGTTCCTTACCTCTTGTTATTAATTAAATTAGAGCAAAGAAGGCAAAGGAATGAGGAGGGGAAGGAGACCCGGTGTTTAAGGTCCAATTAAAAAAGAAAAACCACCAGTCGAGTTATAGCAGCAAAAGATCTAATGTTAAACAAAAAACAACGTAGTGAAAGACATGAGCGCGTGCGTGTTTTTTGGTTTAAAACTAGTTCTTTGTCCCATTTCGTTCATAGAAGGCCAAATTTAATATGAAGAAAGCACGCTTCTCTTATCTTCGTTCGTTCATTGTGTTTCTTCAATTAAATTAGCCTTTTCTTCTCTTCATATTAATAGGTGAATGCTGTTTTCCATTTAGTTCAACTAAGACAAAGGGATGAAGAATTAAAGAGAAACAGCATGAACCACGAGCGCTCTCTTCATTTCTTTGACTCGTTCCTCATGCTCTCATTTGTGTTAACTCAATAAAACCACGCTCTGGAGAGGGTGGGATACTTCTTGGCATAACATTAAATCCTAA